GTACTGTTGTTTTGGACTCCTCCCACCTGGCGGCGCCCCGCGGCCATGCAGGCGGCGCGGCGATGCCGGACTCCAGGGCGGGGCGGGGCTGCTCGCGGCGCGTCCGTCTGCCCCGCCCAGTCGAGCTCCGCGCAAGGCTCTGGCCGGAAGGGTGTGCACGTGCACTGCCCTCGCTGACGATGACGACCATGATGATTGCGTTGTCCCTCGTCATGCCGATGACACGCTGGGCTGGGGCGCCCAGGCCACTCTCGTCGCGTGGCATATCTACGCGAGCGTGGAGTATGGACTGCGGTGTCGGTGCCCCCTCGCCCCGCCGCCATGACGCTCATGCTCCTTCTGTTTTGATTCCCTTCCCTCCCTCACCGATCTCTCACGCTCAGTTGGGCGGCCCGCGGTGCGCCGGCCTCCTCTGTGTTTACACGCCGTTCTCGCTGAGCGAATCGCTCGCTCTCGCGGGGCGTCGAGCCGCGCGAGAAGTGCTATTTGCGGTTGGTCTGCTGTGTATGTGTGTGTGTAACTAGTAAATGCAAGCGGGGCCGTGCGCCGCTGCTGTTGGAACTGAAGAGGATTTGTTGCGCCCCGAATAGAGGGGCTTTTGCGGTCTTGAATGCGGTGCCCCCCCCCCCCCCTTGCCCCAGACCGAGAGGCCGCCGAGGCGCTGATGATCAGGACCGCATGGGGCAGGGCAGGCCCTGGGAGTACAGAAAGCACCCCGTTGTTCGCGGTGGCCGACGTCGCGGGCAAGCTTTCTGCTCCAGCTCCTCTCGGCTCGCCGTCGTCGTTGCCGTCGGTCCATTCCGCTCAGTATATTCGGAAAAGATAAATGACTTGCTATGTGCTAGTTCTAGTTATTCTGGTTGAAATTACTATCCAAATAATAGCTCCCTTTTTGGCTGTACTGGTATTACTTTTTTCCCCTCGGCGAGTGCGGTGCCCCTTTCTTTTCAACCGGGCCGATGCAATTTGGCGAGCTCTACTTTGCGTGCCCTTTCCCTGACGGGCCGCTTGCTTGGCCCGGGCTTGGCCCCGCGCCCTCGCACTGCGGTGTCCTGGCGGCCGCCCTTTAGGCCCGCGACCCCTTCCACCGCGCCCCTCCGGTGGCGTAGTTGAGCCGACAATGTATGTCTCATGTATTCTTTCCTTCCGGCCGCCTTTACAGCCTTCCCTCAGCGCCCCAGCAGCTCCCGCGCGGCTCCCGCTGGTTCGCCGTTGACGTTGCGGGCTTGTCACGGCCCCTGATAAGCGCCCGGGCCGGGCCGGGTGGTGACTGCGTGCCGTGTGGATCCGAAGCAGCGCCGCGGCGGCGTGCTAGTCACAAAAGTATACGCGAGCCTTGCGGGTGGCAGTGGCAGTCCAAGCTGGTGGCGTAGCGGTCCAGAGATACCACACCAGGTCTCGGCAAGCAGGGCACCGAGGCGTCGCACGGTACGGTATGAGGCGCAGCCCTGCTCTGATGGGAGTTCGCGTGCTGACCGGCGGTGGTGGTGACAGTGACATGGGCCAAAAGTACAACAAATGGAAGGTGGGTTTGGGTCACTGTAGTGCGCATAGGACTCCATGTCAAGGGACTGCACTTGGTACAGAGGTGTGTGTGTGTGTAAGGGGGGGGGGGGGTGCTGGAGTGTTGCTACGCCGTCGGCCCATCCTGTCGCGCGCCCCCTCGCGCGGAGCCCGGGGCGGGGCATGGAGTCCCGCGCCGCGGCTGTCAGTCGCTGCGCGTCCTCCCCCCCGTGCGGGACATACGGCGACGCGGTGCTGGTGGTGTAGTCTGCCTGCCTGGTGAGAGCGAAGGGGTGCTCGTCGTCGGTAGTTGCCCGTGCCGTCGCGGATGAGGTCGTCGGCCAACCAACCAACCAACCCTACCCCCCTCGGGCCGGGGCCGAGCCGGTACCCGCATGCCGCCCCTGGTGCCGATAGTGCGTCCGTCCGTTGCACCAACAGGAAGATTGCTAGGAGAGGGGGGCCCTCTCCCTTCCCCCTTGTCCAGTTTAGCGCTCTTTATTCGGCAGTAACTGCCGGAACTCATGCAACCCGGCCTTCAGTGGGGCGGAGCGGGGTGCCAAACTCGCTCATTATTTTTTATTTCTTCATTCTTGCAAATGAATGTTGATGCTTTTGGTGCGGTTGATGAGGAGAAAGCATGAAGACGGAATAAACTCGAGCCTTTAAAGATTTTTCTTGTTTTTTGTTTTTTTAAATATGAAAAGTAATTTCCGCTGCGGCTTCGAGTTAATGTTCTTTTTCTGCTGTCCTTCTTGTTGTCACACGTATGTCTGACTTCCTCTCCTTACCCCCCCCCCCCTCCTCTTTTCCTCGGAAGACTGGCTGTTTATGGTAAGGAGAAGGTATAGAGCGAGGCGAGGTGCGTGACTGTCCAATTTACCGGCCGGGTTGTTGTGATTTGTCACTCCCTCCTCCCGCGTTGCGGCGTGGCGGCGGCCCTTCCCTTGCGTCGGATGGCACAAAGTGGCCGCATTTGATGCCCCGGCGGTGTGTGTTCGTGTATGAGTGACCTCGTGCCAACCTTTCCACTCCCTCCTCCTTGTTTGCCGTACGCACTCTTCGCGCGTAGCTGCCGTGCTCGGGATGCTCCGGCACGCGTCCTGGAAACTCCAGAGGACTCTAATTGGCAGTACGGTGACGGCGGGGCCGCGGGTGGTTCTTTCACCCCGCCCCTGACCCGACCCCGACAGGCCTGATGAGCGTTGCGGCAGTACCAGCGACGCGACGGGTGCGTTACCGGGTTTCGCTTCGTGGTTGAACTGTACTTATATCGTGTCGCACCTCCCCGGACGCAATAACAAAGTCTCTGCCCTGGATGCGTAGATGTCCCCTCCCGGCTGCCACCGGTCCGAGCGCGGGGATGAGACTGGAAATGAAGATTGATTTCGAGTGGTCCCCCCCCCCCCCTCCCGGCCTCCACCGGCCCGAGAGGAGCGCGGGGATGAGACTGGAAATGAAGATTGATTTCGAGTGGTGCTCCCCCTGCCCTGCAGCTGCCCTGTGGCGTGGTGGGGCGGAGGCCGCTAAGGCGACTGAACTCACTTCCTACTTAGCTGGTGCGGCACTCTCGGCTCTGCCCGGGCGGGCGGGCGGGTCCCCGTAAGCTTGGGTCGAGATGATGAGAGGACCGGCCACGCGGCCGCCGAGCCCGCGGCCCGCGGACGACGCAGCAGCCGCGCCCCCGGAGCCGCGGGACGACCGTGGACCGTGTCGTGTCCAGCGCCGGCCCACGGGGCGGACCCGCTTAGGGCGCCTGGCGGGTGGGCACTCCCGCGGGGCGCCCCTGTTGTGCGGGACGGGCGCCCGCGCTGCGGTGGGGTCGTCGGGTAGAGTCCGGCTGCAGATGTCTAAGCATAGAGCACCGGCCGGCCGGCCGCGTCACTGTAACCCTACCAGGGGGTTTGAAGGTCGTGGTGGAGATTTTAAGGTCGTTCAGCGACAATGGCCGTGTCTGCCTCTGCCGCTGGCGTAAGGTTTTCAGTGTAGCGGGGCCAAGGTGGTGGAGGCGCTAACTGGCTCGTCCTGTGCTGGCTCCGCGACGGGCCCAAAGGTGGGCCTCTCTCGGTGAGCGCTGTCTCCCGCCAGTCTCTGCCCGCGATGCGTCTTCGGAAGGAGGCCTCCGCCACGGGCTCGTGGCCGCGCTTCGCCCCGGACGCGGGCGGCTCCGGCGGTGGCGCCCCCGGCCGCGGCGGCTCCGGCCGCTGGCGGCGCCTCTCGGAGCGCGTGGCGCGGGCGTGCCGACCGAGCCGCGGCGGGCTGGGGCGCCTGGGGTCGTGTCTCGGGCCCTCGCGCGCGCCCCTCGGGGGCTCGGCGTCGGCGCCCGCCACCCCGACGTACTACCGCCCCGCCTCGCTACCCATCTACGCCCCGCGGCCCCCGCGACTCTCGCCGCCCGCGCCCCGCCCCGACCCCCCCGAGGAGGTCCCCGCAGACGGCCCCCCTCCCAGCCCCACCCTGCAGCTGCCGCTGCGTGTCGGCACCATCCGCACCGAGCCTTCCATCCAGGAGGAGATCCAAGTGTTTGTGAGTTGACTTGTGCCGGCCGCGCTCCCTGGTCCCTGCCCTGACCCGTTAGGAATGGAGCGTCGCATCTGGGTAATGGACTAGCCCGATACCTGGTATCACACTTGCTCACTGGCATGGCATTCGGTGTGGTGTTTCATACGATCGTCGTCGCCGGTTGTTTCTCCAGGATTTTGTTACTCGTGTGCAGCTCTTGGTCGCCATATCTCACTTGCACTTTCGTTGTGTGTTACAGCTTCAGAGCAAGCGAGAGCAGTTCTTCAAGAACGAGCCAACCACCCCGACCATGCCGGGCCCCACCCCTGGCTCTGGTTCCGCCCCCTCTGTTCCACCCCCGACCGCCCCCGCCCCCTCTGCCATCAAAGAGGCTCTGGCCAAACGGGCGGCGGAACGAGGTAGGCTGCAAAATGGTAAAGTGTCGCCCATTTCATCTGAGACAATTTTTTTTTTCTGAGTAAATTTTGTCTGTTCTTACCTTATTTTCTGTTATTTTTGTTTTGTTGTGTACACAGGTGATTCCGCAAACAGTGAAGACAACAAAGAGCGTTACAACAAAGAAAATAAGGCGCCAGAAAGAAGAACCAAAGAGCTTGATGGATATGTTGGATTTGCGAATTTGCCCAATCAAGTTTATAGAAAAGCAGTGAAAAGAGGTTTCGACTTTACTCTTATGGTTGTTGGTGTGTATCCAGCTTTCAAATTTAACTCTTTTGAAGTATAATTCTGTTGCACTTGAAAGCAGGTGTGAAACTTCTATCAATTATTCACATATTTGCAGGTGAATCTGGCTTGGGAAAGTCTACTCTCATCAACTCAATGTTCCTTTCTGATGTATACTCAAATGAACACCCTGGACCCTCACTAAGAGTTAAGAAAACAGTTGCTGTCGAAACAAGCAAATGTCTTCTGAAAGAAAATAATGTGAATTTATCTTTAACTGTCGTGGACACTCCAGGGTTTGGAGATGCTGTGGACAACAGTAACTGGTAAGGATATTGTCATAACTTAAATGTCACTTACCTGAAGGTATGATGGATTTTCTCAGGCATCATTTGATTTGTTACAGCTGGGCACCTGTTGTTGAATACATTGAGTCTAAATATGAAGAGTTTCTGAACGCTGAATCACGTGTAAACCGCAAAATCCTCTCTGATAGTAGAGTGCATTGTTGTCTATATTTTATTGCGCCATCAGGTCATGGATTGAAGCCCCTGGATGTTGAGTTTATGCAGAGGTTACATGACAAAGTCAATATAATTCCAGTCATTGCCAAAGCAGACACAATGACACCTGATGAATGCAATCAGTTCAAAAAGCAAATTCTTAATGAAATTGCACAACATAAAATTAAAATATATGAGTTCCCAGACACAGAGGAGGAGGAAGAAGTGAAGCAACACAAAGCCTTGAAGGACCGTGTGCCATTTGCTGTTGTTGGTTCGAACACTGTTATTGAAGTTGATGGCAAGAAATTGAGAGGTCGCAAATATCCATGGGGCATTGCTGAAGGTTTGTTTGTGAATTCATTGCATTAAGTTTCCTCTGCTGTCTCTTTTCTTGATCCTGCTGTTTTTTTGTTCCTATTCCTCTCTCATTTGCTCATTTTACTCACAGTGGAAAACCTCGAGCACTGTGATTTCATAGCTCTCAGAAATATGTTGATCCGAACTCACCTTCAAGATCTCAAAGAAGTTACCAACAGTGTCCATTATGAGAACTACCGTTGCCGAAAACTAGCTGGACTTGGTACAGATGGCAAACCAGGCAGAATATCAAACAAGTAAGTGTTATGCATTATCTATTGTTTGCTCTAATTTTTATGCAAGAAGGTGAGAAGTGTGGTGTGTTTATAACAGTGTGATAACTGTTAAATTATTTAATCCCTAATAACATTTTTGGTGCCAAATAGTAAGACCCCAGTAGTTAGAGATTACTTTGTACTGTGTACCACCCCCTCACGTACTATATCAGAGGAATCTGTAATGCCTTTTGTAGGTCAGATTACAAATCATTATGGTTGTTTTTCTGGAGTATCCATGTTTCTTCATTGCTCTCTGAACTCTCAATATTTTCCCTATTTTTGCACAACCAGAAATTGTTAGTGTGTGCAGAATTTGGAGTAAGATTCATTCATAATAACAATAACATGCATGATTCATCCTGTTGAAAAGAAGTTACATTCACTACTAAAGTGGAAAATATATCTGCTTTAAGCTTTGGGAGCCTTGGTTGGTGAGAAGTGACTTGCATGGTAACACACTTCTTTTCGAGCTACCATCCTTCAGAAATCATTAACTCTTAACTTCTGTCAAATGTTGGACAAATGTTTGAGTTCATCATACTAACTAACAAATTGCTTTCACCTAACTCTTTATGTGAGCACCAGTTTCTTTTCTGGTGAATACTAAAACACATTTTTTTCTCAGTGTGGCCCCACAAGGAGTTATGAACAGTTTCATGACAGTCTGGTAAGTGTTGCTGTTGTCTTTAGGTGGCTCGGAATGTGGTTGTGTTGGCTCTGCACTGAGAAGTGTGTTAACAATATACAAATTTAGATTTATCAAGTTCATTTTAATTCTGTCAGCTAATAATGATTACATCTTACATGCCTAGTTAAAATTATCTTGTAGTGGTCATTTGTTTTTCAAATATTGTTTAAATACAGTACTTCATTATTTTGCTGAACACCACATTTAGAAGCCATTCAGAGTGGTTAAAAGAATAAATCAAGGAAAATCAAGTAAAATAAATCTCGCAGCTTGCCAAATCCATCTGCACATCCTCTATTGCCAAATTGTTCTCTAGAGGCAATTCTTGTTTTGCCAACTAATTTTTGATTTAGCTAATTCATTTATCATTAGAAATTAAATGTAAAGAATTTTTTGTACTTTTTTGGCCTATGTCTATTGTTCACAGTCCTTATAAGGGTAATTTTAAAAAAAAACAGAATGTACATATTTCCTCTAGTCTTATCATACACAGTTGATTCCTCATAAATGTCGTTTGTAGTTTAGTTGTCCAATATGAGAGTCCTCAGTTCGGCTGATACACTTCTCAGTTAAACATATTGCTTTTTTGAGCATTTCAATCTATCTATGAACTGTCCCAGCTTGTGCTTCTTTAACATTTTGATCTCCACTGCAACCACTCCCTCTGCTCTTTCCATTTCTGTAGATAATTTGTCATTGCCATTCCTCATGTTCTTCTTAGTGTACAAACTGAATGCTGTTAATACCTGTGAATCTGTTAGGCAGATGTCTTCTCACTTCGAAAGCTTTGTCATTTTATGGTGTACTTCATTCCCACCAGGCTTTTGATTGCTGTTCTCATTTTTCCATTTCTTCGCATGTAATTTTTCACAACCTCAGGAGAGTTGAGCAGAAAGACACTTGATAGCTCCAGACTTCAGTCATCATTGTCACCACTCTTTTTTTTTTTACTCCAAACCCTTCTTGACCCTGTTACAATAACTCTGCACTGACAGTAGTGGTCCTATCGCTACAGGCACCAAAGGCAGGATACTTTATTCAATTTTATATTAGTTGTCTCATCCTGGACTACTTCTACTGTTATTGCTCCTCTATACTTGGTACCTGATTTTGTCTAATTGGAAGAAGCATGTCAAGGCATGCCAAGCATTGTCATTATTGTTGCATTACAAATTTAATTTGTCTGCTGATGTATTAGTATATTTAAGAACAACAACTTCTTTCTTTTAGGACCTTTTTATCAGACTTCTGACCAGTTCTTTAAATTTTCTTGCTCAGGAATCCATTAGCTCAGATGGAGGAAGAAAAGCGGGACCATGATGCTAAGATGAAGAAGATGGAGACGGAAATGGAACAAGTATTTGAAATGAAAGTTAAGGAAAAGAAGCAGAAGCTGAGAGACTCTGAATCAGATGTAAGTGTTAAATCTGTATCTCATCTTACTTAATTGTGGAAGTCGTTTATTGATAACTTTAAAGAGTTGAAGATTGAAGCATACTCTATGTATGTGCCGCATAATTTTCTTTACATTTTAACTGCTCTCAGGAATTTAAACGGAATAATTGTACACATTATTCAAACACACTCAACTATTATTTGCATTTCATTTCGGTGTTCTGTTCATCAACAAGGGTTGATTGAAAAAAAAAACAAAAAACAAAAACAGATACTAACTAACCATTAACCCCTACTTTATACTTTTTTTTTTATTTCACTAGCTCCAACGTCGTCATGAGCAAATGAAAAAGTCACTAGAGCAGCAGCTGCGTGATCTTGAAGAGAAACGAGTGGCATTTGACAAGGAGAGACTTGCCTGGGAACAGCAAAACGGAGTAACACTTCAAGAGTTGCGGAGACGTTCTTTGGAGGCCAACAGCAAAGAGTGAGTAAAAATTCTTGCCTATTTTATTAAATGATTTTCTGTGTACCTGATGTTTATAAGACTTTTAAATAGCATGGTTGGTCTTGCATGGTGGTCAATGTGGTAAAAAATGCTGTTGGAATTTTCATGTATTTATCTTTTGTATACATTGTTATTGCCTCTTTGATTGAGCTCATAAATGGGTGTGGGGTATGGGTTTGGTGTATGCTTGTTGGTCAGTATTATTGCTCTTTTCCTGCAGACCATCTTTCAAGCACAGACCCTTCTATCTGCTGCCACTGCCATCTGAATCATCAACAGACACTGATGATGATTATTAAACCCTAGCAACAAAAAGTTCCATCAAAATGTTGTAGCTCTCTGATTATTCAAGTTTCCTTAAAAAGAAAAAAAGTATTGGAAGAAAATAAAATTAAAAAGTTTTTTTTCTACAAGATATCTATCTTTTACCCTTTGATGTGCTTGTTCTGAATTAAAGAAAGAAAGTCAAGAGCCATTCTACGTATCATGGCACTATATCATTACTGAAAACAAAGTTGCATTCAACAGACTATTCTTAATAGCAAAGTATTCCCAAGGGAATACTTAATAAATTGACCTTTGATCCTGTGAACTTTAAATGTCATCAGTGTTCGAGATGGATGCCAATGGGCAACAGGTTTAAGTGGTCTTCCCCACCCCGTGCTCATCTGTGAGCTGTGTAAAGGTGCTTAGCTTCATCAATCTGCTTTTGATTTCTCTTTATCATTTGCTAGGCTTTCTATAGAACCCAGTTAATTTTTCTTTCGGGCAATTTGCTGTTACTTTTCATTTGAATATTAGCCCTGCAGTGTTGTTTATCTACATTATGGGTTAAGTCAGCACTTTTGTTCATCCAACTTTCACCTAGTCCTCTTAATATTTACAAATATTTCTCTTTAGAAATTGTCATTTCATTATCACGTTGACATTGTGCATGTGCTGCCTTGTGTATGCCTTTGTGTATGTTTGAATGTCCTCCCTCACTCCATATGGCCTCACTTCGCCACTTCACTTTTCTCCACCTGTCTCAATCCTTTCCCACATTTCTACCCATCCTGTTCCTATGCGTAGCTGTTTAGTGTAGATCACAGTAGAGGAAAATAGAGGCTTGGCGCTGATTGGCTGGCGGGTGCACTCCCGCCCGCCCCGGCATGTCCACAGGAATGACATGTGCTCTGCAGACGACCTTATGGCCCTGCCGACTAAGCCCACCAAGGGTGGACCCAACGCCCCACGAAGGCGACATTCTTTTCATCACCGCAACATGGCTGCGAATGCTAGCGAGTGCAAGCAACAGTGACACTAGCTTAATGTTTTTTTCATTTTTTATGTAATTCTTCTTTCATTTAATTTTTTGTGTCATCTCTTGTCACATTGGGGTCTACTTTCAGATTTTTATTTTTTGTTTAACCTGGTGTATACAGTAGTTTTTAGCTGCCATAGTGCATTTCATTTTGGCTATCACCTAGATGTAATATTATAAACGTAGTAGAATATCTTTGCAATTTTTTGGCTGGTATTTGTGAAATTTTCTGTGCTTGATCCATATGCACTGTAATGCTTTTATTGTCAAAACTTACGTGATAAGAAGCTTATCTTGATATGGCTTGTATGCTTTTACAGGTCGACCAACTCCATGTTGCAGTTTATTCGTAAAGCTATGTAAAGCATTTTAGCATTTGATTGCTCCTCCACAGAAGATCTTCTTCTGTAGGTTCCTGCTAAATCATTCTTCCTGAAATTTGTGAGAAATGTTTTGTGTGTGTTTCCACTTTTGATGTTTTTTGTTCAAAATATTTTGCTAGATCATAATCAAATTCCTCTCTATGTACATTCCTTTTATTGCTGTGTGATGGTTCAAAGAAACTCTTCTTGCAAAGTATTCTCTCATGTCATTGTAATTAGTTGTGACTTGCCTGCTCTTGTAGTTATGACTTCTCGTTTGACTAGCCCTTTAAATAAATGGCTCCAGATAATCTTATTGGTTTCCTCAAAATTGTGATTTTGTAACAGCAAATTTTTTTATGTTTTATATGTATCTGATTAAGTGTTCGCTTTTTATGTAGAATTTGTGCCTGTTTTTAGAAGACTGAAGTTATTTATTAAGTATTGCTTTAAGGTAAAACCAAGGTGCAAGTAAGAATTGTGAAAGTTCTGCATGACATTGTTTGCCTGTCTTTTATAATTAATTGCTATATTTTAACATGTACTTAATTTTACCTTTGCTAAACATATCACATTTTAAATTAAATAAATGTTTGTTTTATATTTTTCTATCTTGACAGTTATTGGTTGTGTGATGCACGATACAACATATTCTTTCTCTAGTACATTCAAAATTGCATATTCAACAGACAGTACAGTAATTTTTTTCTGTTTTTTCTCTTGTTGGATAGTGTTGATGTATCCCCAAAAATGAGCTACCAGCTGAATAACTTGTCATTTGCAAATTACATTCTGCTTTTTAATGCTTCATTCCTGCCTCTTGTTCATATTGCTATGGCTATCACTAAGATCATGCTGCTTTTTCAAGTTGCCTGTACATCAAATTTACTATAGTTTTGTATATGTTTTCCTTGTTAATATTACAGTTGTTGCCTCTCCACTAAGTCAGTATTCATTATCATGTATAAGGTGTCGCTTACAGACATGTCCCTTTCAAGGTGGGTTTTCCCGCTATTTATTTGAATCCATACCACTTAGCTTCTGACTACTGCTCTCTTTCTGGATTCGGCACAGCTTAGCTCAACTCAATGACTTGTGTCGGCAAGCTGGGTGAGATGAGCCAACCTCACCCGCACAGCCTGCCTAGCCACCCACAGCAAACCCATAGATTCAAACCAGTGGGGGGAAAGTCTTGCCTTCAACAGCGTGCCCTTTAGTACTCTAAAATCTTGATTCGACTCTCAATTTACTGGATTAACTGATATGCCTCTAACTGCACTATATATATCTCGGCAAGACTAATGGAATGTTCCAGATTTTGAATTGATTTGTGAATATTATCAATGCTTTTGGTGAAGGTTGCCTGAAGATATTTCCTGGCTTTCCTTTTTTGATGGTATCTCATGACATGTTACACATTTGCCATGTCTGCTTATATCAATGTCCTTTTTAACAACCTACATCTGAAGAGAACCATTTTGAAGCATGACTTGTAAAGCACAGTCATTTAGGTATATTTAATTTTTTTTTTTTTTTTTAAATTCTGCATTTATGGGTGGAAAGGGTTTCTGTACAGAATTTGGATTATGGGCTAAGGTATTGTACTGTGCTTAAAGTCCTTTGCATTAATGCTTTGTTGTATTCATTTTTGTTTCAGGATGGTCGATGGAAAAGAAAAGAAGAACAAAAAGAAGGGGCTCTTTTAAACCAGTTGTTAATGGACCAGATAATTCTTTCAATGCAAGGTCGTATGCTTGTGGGCAAAATTTGTGTCAGTCACAACTTTTAGATTTTGTAAATATTGAGTCTCATAACTTCTAGCCTCCTCTAATGTGTCATTTCTTGTAGGAATTTTTGGAATGTGAACTTGACAAGTTTTGACCACATCCATACGCCTTTTGATTTCATGTCAGTGCTCACCTAGCCATAATTCTGTGGAAAGCTATGTACAAAGATATCTTGTTGGTTTATTTATTATTCTTTTATAATTTCTCAGTAGAGATGTAGATGTAAATGAGATTGTTTTATGTTTATGACAAGTCTGTATATATGACAGGTGTGCAATGTTGTCATTTTGAAATATTGTATCAATTTGGAGTGATAAGCATGTTTAAACCAAAGGATGAAAGTATTTTATTTAAAACATACCTGGAAAACATCTTTATAGTTTATCTCTATCTTTGACATGCTCCTACAACACTGCCAGTATTTCCAGATACCTTGGTAGCATCAAACTTCAGATCGCTTCTTTTGGCAAGTTGAGTCAAATGTTTAACTAAATGAATTTCTGGAAGAGCCTATGTGGTACCTTCAGTATTCTCTAGTGTAGTTATTCAAATTTTATATGTGCTAATAAGTGCAATGGGTAGTCAAAATCCTCAAAAGCAGATTTCTTTTGAATGAGTTAATTGATTTAGCCAATCCAAGGCAAATCTATAGTATCTCTTATCTTATTGTACAATGTTGGATGTGATTTTATAAACCTTTCTTTAGATATTATTTTACAAAAGAATGCCATGCCTCAGTGCACATGGTTAATGTTACCTGAGATTTGATTGAAGTGGTTTGCATGATTGACAGGCTTAGGAAGGATCATTAAAATCAATTTGTGGTGTGCCAATGATCAAATGACACTTATTTTTGTCATTAATGTACAATGAGACATTTCTGATCATTCTGTTTAATTATCAAATTTAATTTAGATTAAAGTTTTACGTTTTGTTTTCATTTCTTCTTTTTTTTATGAGCACAACAGAGATGATCACTCTTAGGAACCATTCACTTCCATTAATTATTTAAACAATGTTTTGTGCCTCTTTTACTCTGAGAACCATACTTAAAGTAATGATAAATTAGCTCCATGTTTGGTGATATCATTCAAGATGTTTGGACTGCTTGTCTAAATTCCATTGGTATTAAAACCATTTTGCTAATTTGCATCTACATTGTAATTGGATCTGATATTATTAATGAAAAGTAGTGTCAGTTGTGTCATAATCATGATTTAGGCAATAAATGATTTTAATAAGGACACTTTTATGTCTCTTTGTTTTATTTCCATCTACAACAACTGGTTCACATTTCTTCCTCTCAAATACTCAGTCTCAGTAGTCCGAGTCCGCAATCATAACATTTGAATACAAGGTTCATGGCAGCCATACTGTATTTGGTGAAATTGAAGTGAAGTTTTCCCTATCTTCACACTTCACACCCAGTGCGAAATGGAGTCGAAATTGATATCGGAACGATGTCAAACTGACGCGATTTCAGTCGTGTTGACATCGTTCTGATAACCTTTCGACATGACATTTCCACTCTGGGATTGATTTCCTATTTAACTAGCTCTTCAATTTCTTGATTAAAATTGCGGCAGTTCACGACATGGCGGCAGAACATCTTAAACAAATTTCTCTTCTAAAACGCACATCTTTAATAAACAAAATGACGGTACAATATGTACATTTGTCAAAATAACATTTTGAGAAACATTATTTTGGTCTTTGGTCTTTTGGTGGTGAAATTGAAATTGCGCGCCGAAATAGCTCCATCGAGAGATCGATTCGGGCATGTGAACGAGATCGAGATGTAAACACAAACACTTTACCACACCACCACCACATGTTAGCGGTTTGCTTACACTCATTTCTTTAATTCGTGTGACTTGTACCTCATGGAACACTTTTAGTTTCGAATAAATCTTTGAAACAATAATGGCAGCGCAGTATAAGTGAGTTGATATGAAGGCATTTTTAATACAACTCATCTAAAAGTTTCGCTGAGGGACACCTAACCCTTTCCCGTTGTATTACATGGAAAATGTCAATTTATTGTGTTATTTTTTTAAAACTTTGGACTTTTCTCCAAATATGTCAAATTAATACTAGTATATCACGATCTGTTTTCAGGACTATACACCCTGTTAAATATTACCGTGACTTTTTGGTAAGTGTTGATTGTTGAGAGACATAAAATGACAAATTTCACTTTGCGTCAAAATCAAGAACTTAATAATTCTCCCCCTAATTCGAAAAATGAACTCATAGGCACACGATCTAAGACCAGATGGTAGATCACCAGACAAAACTAGAAATGTTACAGTTAATGTAAATTCTATTAGCACTGCTGATGGATCCTCCACAGTTCGCATTGGAAACACAACTGTTATTTGTGGAATCAAGGCAGTAAGTTGAATTGCATTCCATTCAAATTCTAAAAGAATAATTTCATTGCTAATTCCAATGTTTTCTTTTTAAAAATTAAAAAGGAATTAGGTAAACCCAAACCAGATGAGCCTGAGTGCGGATTTATGGTACCAAATGTTGAACTGCCACCTTTATGCTCTCCACTCTTCCGCCCTGGACCACCAAGTGAGGAAGCACAAGCCATGACGTGCTTTGTTTCTCAAGCTACTTCTGACATGGTTGACCTCAAAGAGTTGTGTGTATCAACTGACAACTTAGCATGGGTGCTGCACATTGATATGATTTGTCTAGATTATGATGGCTGTGTACAAGATGCGTGTCTAATAGCATTATCTGCAGCTCTTCGTACAGGTATTTATTTTTCAAAGAAGTTTGTACATTCCACTCTTTTTACCCCAACACTTACCACTTACAATTTTTCAGTAAAACTGCCCAAAGTCGAGTATGATGCTGAAACAAAATTGCCAAGTGTTTCTCTTGATGAGAGGGCTGATCTACATGTTAAATCATCACCAGTTTCCACTTCCTTTGCAGTTTTTGATGAGTGAGTTGAGACCATGATTAGACCGCATGGCTTTAACTTGAGAGAACCAGCCAACAAATGACCAATGAATCATTGGCTCTTTTACATTACATGTTCTGTTTCTTTATATTTATCTACAAAATGTTTCTTTCAGTGAAATAATTCTTAGTGACCCTACTGGTGAGGAGGAAAACTTATCCAGTGCAAAACTGAGTGTTGTCACAGATGGTGAAGTTATTCTCTCAGTCCACAAGCCTGGTATGTCAAATATTGTGTTACCTTGGTAACATTCCTCAAAAAGGAACTATTAATAAACATTCATTGGTATTCGTTTTTTTCCCCTCTTAAATTAGGTGGAAGTGCATTATCAGAGACACAATTGCAAGATTGCATATCTGTTGCCAAGGATCGTGCCAACTTAGTAAATGAACTGATAAATGTTGCTTTAAGTTCTGTAGACCGGTGATGTGTACTTCAACAAGGTATTATGAACTCTTGTTTTTAAATGTGCAACTCTGTATATTTTCTAAGCAATATCATAGAAGTGTTTTTTACCTATCAAAATAGTGGCCCATTCCGTTTATGGTTTGAGAAAAATATAAGAGAATTGTTCACAACAACAATGTCTTTATTTTGAGCGCAGAAGGAACACAATGTTCTAAATGCATTGTTTAATAAGATACTCCTAACTGGTCCCGTTTTTCCCCTTTTAATATTTATTTGGCAAATTAATACTTTTAGTAGGTTATTATTTGACACATTACCCAAACAAATCACAGAGATAAAATTTTAAGAGAAGCAATACAGAATCTCTGTGAAAATAAAATTTCAAATAATAATGCAACAGTCATGGACAGAACTTGCTGTGGGACAGTGCCTTTCATAGAGTATTTATCCCAGTTCAAAAGTAAACTTATTTTGATGAGTTAAAACTAAATGTCCGACATTGTATTAAAATTAGCTCAATGTAACAAGGATTCAGTTAAAAATATTATACAATCACAACTATAAAAGAAAACAATTTCAAAAACATATGTCAATAGTACGTACCCTCTTAGATTATTAGTTGGCAAACTACCACTGCAAATGCACCTGAAGAAAATTTAACATTTCAGTCTTAAACCATTTTTAAATGGTTACTTTTTTTCTCATGTGTACAATCACATACATAGGTTTTTATGTCCATACGAATAAAACCTATCCGACCATAATTACATTCTGTAATAACAGGTCAAATGAATTTCAGAAATTACAGCCTTAGGTATGATTTTTATGTAGTTTGGCAACAAGAGATCACAGGAGCCAATCTCACCATCATCAGTTATTACAATAAAATTGTGCATAACATGCCTTTTAAATGTTTTTTCATGGTAACATGTACTATGTATTTGTCTGAGGTACTTCTACACTAGCCCAGGCTGATTGTATTCTGGCTTGGGTGACTTGCAAGCCTAGTTTTCCAGCCAAAATACCATTGACTTCCATGTTATTCCAGAGGGTTGCCATGAATATCATGTAGCACATTAATGCTGTGATGAAAGGGACAAGGGGTTTGATACCCCATTCTACCCATAGCATGGCTATGAGTACTAGAAGTAATGCTAAGGACATCATCCAATATTGTTTACGATGCCTCCCAACTCGTTTGAGTGCTTCATCACAAATTTCTAGTGCCTTCTGTACCACTATATTTTGACGTTCAAGATCCATGCTATGTCCTGCAGTTGCTGTAAAACCATAAAACACTAAGTGAGTTATCATGAGAGTATGGAGTTATCATTTATTGGATTTTTATTTGTTTTCATTGTCGAGACAAGAAAGGTACGCCATTATTTTTACATACCATTTCCAACATGAGATATTTTAAACTTGGCCATCACAGCTTCGTGGTCAGAATAACTAAATGTTTCTCCAGGGACAGTTTCAGGAAGAGGAAGGCTGTAAGATTCCTGAGTAACCTGCGATAGTTCATATACAAGATGTAATTTCAAGTCAGTGTTGTTGTTGTAGTTGTTGTTGTATAGAACTCATACGAAATTACAGTATTTCAAAAACCATAATGTACCTGGGCTCTGTGACCTCCTTTATACAAAACATAGTCTATTCTCTGCCCATTAGGTGACTTGCGAATCGACTTTGCAGGAGTATATGAGTTCTGAGCTGTGGCAAATGTTCCAAACGTAGTTTTGTCCACCTGATGAATAGGAAAACCACAAATATGATAACTGCTCAAGAAATAAATCAATATTGAGAGTAATACTTACAGCTGAGGGCTGATTGTATGCATCATGCAAATATGCATTTAACAATAAAACCTGATAAGCTAAATCGTCAGGTTCTGTGTTGAGATCACCACCTAATATGACCATATCTGCTCCACCTGAAGTCATATGTATGAACTGTGCTGTATCAAAGGCTTGTAAGACGCGGTGGGCAATATACTCATCAGATTCACGGTCATATTCAGCATGCAACTGCAAAGTTTCACAAAATAATTATTCTAACTGTAAACTTAGTCCTGGTGCACTGAATGAGGAAGATTTAATGAGACTCACATGAGCAGCATAGACATTAATTAGAAGGTCGTTGTAATATATTTGGCATAACCCAACTCCTTTCCCTCCAAACCAATCTCCATGATGAATTTTGTGAACATAGCCATTTACAGGCCATTGGTGGAAAAGAACATCATGGATTGGAAACCGAGACAGAATGCAAACACCTGATCCTGCTACTCCACTAATTGAAAAAAAATCTAGTAAGTGCTGGTACTGACCTAATTTAATCAACTGTACAGAGGGCCAAAATCTTTCTTTTTTTCAATGCAAGAAAATACTACCTGTGAAAGTAGTGGGAGTAAGGTAGGACAGGTTTAGCTCCATCTCTAATTAGATTAAAATCACTGACAGCCCACACTTCTTGTAAACAAACAATATCATATTTCCCAGAGGCAAGCTCTAGAGCTATAGCTTTCATGCGAGCCTTGCGATCTTTGGACACAAATGGGATACCCCTGAAACGAATGCATTACAAATATCACGGTGAAAAAGTATGACTGAGATATGTAGAGCGAACCATTATTATTAACTACAAGAGTTAACAATACATAAGAACTAAACCAGAAGTACAACATGACAACTCCAGAAAACAGCAAAGATATGTAATTCTGGATGAAATGTCCTAAAAAAAAATATGTGGCTAATAGAAACTTACCAGCAATTCAGAGTAAGGACACAGAGAATGGTATTGGCCATCATTGTAAAACTTTGATGTAAAGTTTAGGACAACCAGATATATGGCAGGGATAAAGCACAAATATACATTAAATAAAGAAATGAAATCTAAACTACATAGCAGCAGCTTGTGACACTAGCAAACACATCTTGTTCTTGTTGTCAGCTAACAACCAGAAAAACACTACACGAAAGTAGAAGTTACCTCATCGCTTGTTATAACCGAAACATGTAGCAGACGAAAAGAAAAGATTTGGCCAGAATTCCTTTTTCAAGGCGCTCTAAAGGGATACTGTATACTTTGAAAAAGGCACGAATCTTCTCATGTTCGAATCATTGGAAATTCCCTTTTCAGTGCTGAGTGTTGCCGCTGCTGCCGAGGCCCTCTCAAAGTGTACGAGACGACATTTTGGTCCGCGGTGGCAGTCGAGGCGGCGGAGGGCTCTCCTTGTCAGTTCAGTTCTGTGCTTCTGTGTGTTGTGTTGTGCACGGTTGGGCCGGAGCTTCGCGACGTGCGCAAAGTACTTGTGAAAGTGCAGTGTATCCGCAAATCGCGAAAGTGTTTTTGCAAAATATTGCAAAATGGCGGAGGAAGCGGTACAAAATGGCAACAACCACACGGATATCCCAGAAATCGAACTTATAATTAAGGTGAGGTTGTCGGAGAGACGGATGTTTATTGTCCGAGTGCCTGGCCGCGGCGGCTGCCGCCGAACCCTTTCTGTGTGTAATGCAGGTGGACGCTGCGGGCGTCTGCCCTCCACAGCGCGGCCGCACCCTCAGGGAACTCCCTTTCGCACTTCTGTGTGCCCGTAGAGTACCAGACGCCGCAAGAGGGTGTGCTGTCAGTGATGTGGCGTTGTCCTTAGTCTGCACTGCAGGACTGCAAGCCTTTGGCGGGATGGGTTGGCTGTGACGGGGCGGGGCGGTACTCGGTAGTCGTTGGGTGCCAGCGGGTACCAGTGTTAATTTTTGTTGCTGGTACCTACCCTCTTTTGAACATGGTACGAGCTGATGACCTGACAGGTCTTCTGCTGCACCTTTCTAGTTTGTCAGAAGCTGGCTGTCCAGTTTTCATCTCTTGACAACTCTTCTAGGTTAGCCTCTTCATAGGTTAGGTGTCAAGTCCAAAGCACCTGTCAATGGTGTTTTATTGTGTTAGCATAGGGTATAGGGGTGACACGTGCAAAAAACGGCTGGCATGACCATTTATTGTTTTTGACCATTATGAAGATCTGGTTCTGTATTTGATACATATGGTATATCAACAGGTCAATTTCTTGTGTACTAGTCTAATGTTCAAGTACCAGCCATCATTGTACTTGAATGGATTCATGGAATGTATGGCCTTTGTCACACTCAGTTTGTCCATGCCATTTAGATTATTAACTGACAGTTTATGGACCATTCCCAACTTTGAAATATCCCTTTGTCAATCATTATCCATATGTGGCTGTAGTGAAAATTCAGAAGGGACCTGTAGGTTATTCCAGTGGCCTTTATTGATGTGCTGTAATGTGGCCTTATTTTATCACGCCCAGTGGTGCAGTGCGGCCGTGCACTCTGGGGGCTGGGAAAACCCAGCAAAGCATGACCACATTGTGGCGATGCCGGATTGCCATCGAGAGCCATACAATTTCCATACGATACATCTGCTGGCTCTGGTCCTAGTGCGGCTCTCCTTTCTGGCCCCGCGATCTTCCAGCCCTTCACTTGTTCGCCATCCTACGCCATCTGGCTTCCCGAATGGAGGTTGTCGGGGTTTCTGTTGCACTTTGCAGGGTCGGTCTCGCTCGCGGCGTCGGCGAAAAATAGATTTTCTGCCCGGTTGCTGTTTACAAACTTCCTGACGCGGCGCGTTGTGCGGCGGGCGTCACGTGCGCTCCGTACCGAGGGGCCCGAGTGGCCGCGGGGAGTGGGAGTGGAGGGGAAAGGGTAACATCTGGCGGGCGGGGCGTGTGCCGGCTGGTCAGGGGCGGCTGCACGCCGGCACCACCGCCAGCAGCACCGCGGCCCGGACGCTTCCAACACCCCCCAGCACCCCCTGGCACCTCCCGGTACTTCCCTCACTGTAAATTGCTTATCAACAACAGGTTCGTAATGCAAACCAAAAACCTTCGTCGCTCGCGAAGGATTTTGAAGCGTTGTATTATGAACTATTTGTTCGTAAGCTTACAAGCAAATAGTTCGTAATGCAAACCGAGTGTTCGTAAGAACCATTCTGACCTTAGAAACAATTGCTTTGCAATGCAAACAATTTCTTTGCAACACAAAGAATGAAAATTGTTCGTTACGTTGCAAATCATTAAGTTCGTAAGCATTTTACAGTGCTCACCCTTCTCGCCCCATTCCCCTCTTCCCTCTCTTGGTCACTTGCTGGCGACTGCCAGGTCAGGATGGGGAGGGCGACAGTGAGGGAGATGCGGGGCGGGGCGGCCTGAGAGCACCACCTCAGCAGCACGTGTGAACGCCACCAGCCCGGCGGCCCACCCGGCCGGGAGGGGTAATTTGATTAGCAGCCTCAAGGCGCTCTGCCGCGCCATCTCGACGGTGTCACGGAGCGCGCCCGCCCCGCCCCGCCCCGCCCCGCGCGTCACCGCGGGCAAGCGCGGGCCGGGCCGGGCCGGGCACTCGAGTGAGTGCGGCTGGACGCCTAGATAAGCCCGGCCGCGGGGCGGGGGCGGCCCTTTATACCCCTTCGGTGCCCTTTGGCCGGTGCGCCGCCGGCCGGGCCAAGCAGCGCAAAGGCGGCCGCGAGTAATTCAAAATCAATAGGAAATAAACGGCTCAAGTTGGGAGGGGGTTGGGCAGCGGGTAGGAAGCCAGAGCGAATTGCGGCGTCCTCTCTCTTTCACGGTGGCAGAGACGAACCGCGGCGGCGGCGGCTCGGCGGCCGGCTCCTCTGTCGGCTTGGCGAGGACTCCACCGCTGCCGCCGGCGCCGGCTGAACCGCGCGTTCGTTTAAACACCAGGCAGGCAAGGTAGTCGTGTATACCGAGTTTTATAGCGTATATTTATTTATTCTTCGCGCCAAAAAGCCCTGTTTTTGCATTTAGCATTTTTACGGTGATCACAATTTTTGCCAAAAAGACTACTGACAGTGTCTGACGTCGTTGAGACGCTAGTCATTGCGCCAAAAAAAATGGCGATGGTCAATGCAAATTGAAAAGAAACGGTGTACTCATCGCTTGGAGACAGGGCCGCGCCAGCAGGACGAGGGGGCTGCCTCCGAGTCGGCCACCTCTTGGCTCTCGTTGCTCGCGGCGCCGCGGGCTCCATTCGCACGCGACCCGCGTGCCGCCGCGCCGCGGCCCTGCCGGGCCCTGCTCGTGGCGAAGCTTCGCTAGCGACACCTTTTACGAGCTGCTGCCACCGGCAGTCTTATCGGAGTTGAGTGGCACAGGCTCAGCCCCGCGGGTCGGCACTGGGAGAGAACGAGAGAAGGCGAATGGGGGGAAAAAATACGAGGCGAAAGAAAAGGGAAACTTTTCCGAATCGAGATTGAACCACACATGTCCGACCTGCTGCTCGTTTGCCTAACCAGCGGCGTCATGCGTCATAGCATGGAATTCCCCCGGAGTCGGTTGGGGTGTGCTGGGCCAGTTGGACAAGGGGGTGAACGGACACTTTGCGAGTCCAGTTGCGACAGCTAGTCGTTCCTCTCCGTGTGGGGGACACACGCTGCACTACTGCTGCTCCCTTGCCCAAATTTTGGTACGTTACTGAGCGGTGGATGTTGATTGAACTCCGCAGATCTTCGCTCCGGGACGCGCTCGTCACACCGTGTAAATGCGCTGAAAAAAAATGCCAAACCGATCAGATTTTTCTAGCAGTGCTATCTCGTCCGGTGTATATGTCCATAGTGCGGAGTGCTATCTTGTATGTGTCGATAAAACAATAAGTGGAGGGTTTAGAAGGTGTGACCTGAAACGCCTTTTTCGGGAAGTTGAATAGAAATAGTTCTCTATGTGCGTCGGCGCGTTTCTCGTTTCCATGCCCCTAGACGTGGTCGCCGCCGGGCCCCTCGACATGGACGCTGTGACGGCCGTGACGACAGTGACGGCACACCCTTTACGGGAAACCCGGTCGGCAGATCTGCCCTGAGTCACAAGTCGTTACGTTATACCTTCGCCATTTATCTCGGCTCTGTGTACAATTTGTTTTCTCTCCTGCTGTTGGTTTTGCCTGCTCTGGCGACCCAGGATCAAAACGGCAAAAACCATAGAGCTCTCGGTTTTGGTACAGCCGCGACGATGCCTATTTTCAGGTAATGTGAACAAAATCAAGCAGTGCGCCCGATTTGCAGCGTGTGGTTGATTTCAAAGCAGAATTCAAGCTGGCTGCCTCGGGCTGCCTGCAAGTCTCCACTTGGAAATCAAGCTCTGGTTTTTGCCGTGGTGTCGAAGGCGCGCACTCCGCGCTCTGCACGACATAGGGTAGCCATTGGTCGCATGGCGCTCATAGACCGAACCGGGTGCACTTGAATGGCCTGTTCCGTGTCCCTCTGTCTCCATCATTGCCCCCCCCCCTTTTCCCCTCCCATTCCGCACTCCTTTTCCGCCAAGGTGACTGGCTCGGTACGCTACGTGAGTCGGCCGCCGCCGTGGGCCGTCGAGATCCGCGGTCCGCGGTGCGGTGAGCCGAGAAGAACAAACCTCACAAAGCTCACATTTTTATTTCTTTCGGTTCTCTCTTCGGTTTCTTTGAAGTCATGTATTTGCATATCGAACGGCGTGACCATGTGTAAGACAATGTGACTGATGTATCGACGTATCGTTACGAATTTGAATTGCGTGCTGCTTTGCTTTGCTGTTCCGTCCGTGCTCCCCGCGCCGTGTTGACGGCCCGGCGTGGGGTCGCGACCCGACAGCAGCGGATGATTTTCTATTTTTCATCTTTTTTTTTCCTCTTGCCGGCGGCGGGGCGCTATGTGATGACTGGTTCCTGACGCCGGTGACCCCCACCTCA